CGACGAGAGCGACAGATACAGACGTCACCACCGACAGTTGGAGCACGTCCACCGTCTCGTCCTGCTCGAACAGTGACTCCGGATGCCCAGGCTCTTCCTGGCCGCCCTGTGACTCCGTTAGCCCAGCCCTCAACTGCAAGCACTTCTCAGGATACATCTGAAGATATAGATGCAATCGATGGATATTCGCTTGTCTCAGATGATGAGCTTCAGGTAATGCATTCAAGTTATTGAATACGACAAGTCTTCAAGTAAATTTGTCCACCAGCTGATCCATAAATTTTCAAAACTTAGATATAACTTCAAAACTGTAATAGATCTGTAAGCATTGCCTTCAACAAGTCAACAATAGTTGAGAGCACATTCCGTGCTGGGAGTATGGGCGGAGAGAGATCTCTCCATCACGCTCACCTTCTCGTCACCGTTCAAGAATGGAGGAGGGGCGCAGCAGTGGAGACGGTATATCGCTCCTGTATTTCCGCCTATGCGGCTGTCGCGGAGCATGCCTTAAGTAAGCAGTAAGCATGCCTTAGTAAGTGATTTCAAAACTGTAGAAGCCGAGCTCAGTCAGACCTTTTGATGTTCTCAGTGAGTTGCGGCCTGCTCTCAAAAGAAACCAGGAAAGGTCAGTTAGCAAACACTATTTTGTACTGAATAGCGGAGTTTTGCCATCAGTACCTACCCCTTCCCACTGCGCCTCACCTCCAAAGGACAAAATTTCGCCACACACACCTGGAACAAACTCATTTGGTCCAGTGTCGACTGAAAGTGATGAACGTTTCAGCGAAAACGGCGTTGCAATAGGATTTGGGTGATTCCCTTCAGAGCCTGATCGGTTCGAAGTGAAAAGGCTACATACAGCACATCGAGTCGACTATCAAAAAAATACTATCTAGTTTGTGCACATCAACGTAACACGGATCTCCCAACCACCCGGACAATTGCGCTAATGACTTGGGCCATAATCGGGTCCCGTAAACTGTTTAAAGGCAGTTGGCACGATAATTCTCTGAGACGAGTAAGGAGTACGCCTGGCAGGACTGAATTCCGCCAACGTCAGCAGACGCTGCATAACATAAGACCGAAGCTGCAACATACCGACCCGGACGCCCACCGCGCCCGCCCGCCCACAAATGGACGACCGTACCTGATGCTCGTATTGCTTCATTTGCGAAGTAAAATATGAAGCGAAGGGATTGATATGAAGCGGCCGCGGTGCTGCATGGATATATGAGTACATACATGCAGCCGTATCTACCGTAGCGGTTATTGGCACGATGCCAACGGGAAACTCGTCCGAAATTGCTTTCTGAGTCATGTAGAACGAAGGCTTTTCTTCGCAGGTTTTGACCGTTTCACTTCGTTTTTTCGCCATTTCCCACTATATAGCACCATGCCAGCATTTTAGACCGAGTAAGTAGTACCGAGTATCGTGCCATATGCCTCTGAAGTACCGACGATGTAGAGTTAGGGTCGGATTGGAAGCAGAATGTGTGGCCTAGTCTGAAGGAACTGATCAGCGTGGGCTCTTGTGCACTTTTGACATACTTGCTACACGGCCTATGCCTTTTCCTTGGTGCGGGGACCTCAGTTCATGCCTCTTGACACCGCTCCAACTTCCCTTTAAAAACGGACAGATCCCTTTAATGTGATTATATTGAATTCATCACATTAAAGATGTCCACTTATATTTCCGTAGTGTTACCGTAATTATGTCACCTATGGAAATATGGAAATTGGCAAATTTAGCATCTCGTGTATTTTCAGCCATCCAAACTGCCACGTTCGCCGAACATTGACGCTGATGACGGTCTTTCGTTTATTAGTGAGATTTCCTCAACTACTGTCGAAGATGAAAGTCCTCGACAAAGCCCACTGAACTGCAGTTCCACACCGTCTATTCAACCATCTCACAGTCCGTCAAACGCCAGCTCTGTCCCATCTCTCATGAGTTTGAGATTAAATGAGTAAGTTTTTTTGCTATAACTCTAATAGTTTCTCAGATCCGATGGCAGTCGCTCGTCCCCGTTGCAAGCATATTACACGCTGATCGTATGGGCGGGGTCACTTCGACAAGTGCGTTTGTGTGGCGCCGTCTCTGGAGGCA